TAAACAACCTTGAGTGGATCTGGAAATTTAGACACCAATTTTTGGGCGTAACTCACGGTTTGAGGGTGAACTTAAATTGAAGTTGTATGCCACAATGTCTGAGCCTGGTCATGAAGAACTTTGACGAGTCGGGGATGACAATGGCCTACTGAAACCGTGACAATTCCAGCAAAAAAGTCTAGGTATCGTTTCTGGTTTTGGTCAAATATCCATTGCATGCTAGCTGACGAAACCATAATTGGGTTTCGGTAGTAAGGCCTTATAGAACGATTAAGAACATCTTGTTTCGTTTTTAACAACTCCTCGAATTTTGATTTTGAAATCTTTGAAGATGTAGCTCTTGGAAATGGCCCTGGAGGTAATTTTGGAGGCGAGTTTTCATTAGAAATTGGCGGATAAAAATTTGATTGGGGTCGTTTGAATACTTTTATTCGGTTGCTGATATACTTTAAATTGCCTACCGCAGCCATAATGAGTTTCGGATTTGGTAAAGCTTGAAGGTCGTTTTATGAAGCACGAAATTTCATTACTTCATGTGCAATTTGCGTGTCTTAGCTCTCATGTATTAAGGTAGGAGTTTATTTGCATTGCAAATTTGGTCACAAATGTAGCTCAAGTTTAATTGCAATTTAATGCGGTCAATAACGCTTTGCGAGGTTTTTGAACCAATTCTTTGGGCGGGTTGATGGTTGATTCACTCACATATGGAGTTGGTGATTTTTTCTGGAAAAACTTTAGGCAACTATTCATGTCAGTTTTTGTTCCTACGCTTTGCACATCCGTCAAACCCTGTCGAAAGAGCCTTCAAATGCTTTCTTAATTGACGCGAAACCTGATATCACGTTAAAACTTTCAACTAGGGAATTTTGAGCAGTTATGAAAAATCATTTTTTTTCTTTGGATCATCATGATAGTTTTTGTAGCACATGTAATCTGCTATAAAATCTGCTTTGCTTCGCTTGTATTTGTGATTAGCATGGCGATAGTCAAACGTATACTAACATAAGTACTAATTAAAAGCGTTTTCACTTTTTTGAAAGAAAACTTGGTCAAAATAGTTATTGCGAAAGTTGAATTACAAAATTATCAGAACATCGATTTAAACAAAATTGTTTTTAAATTCAGCGCTGATAGGTCTCGAAGTCTTCCTCTGATTTGCATGTTAACTTCAGGTCGCCTTCGTAATTTTCTGGAAATCCAAATTAAGTCGGTTATATTTGGACGTTCTTTGAGTATCCTTGATCTATTGTGTACTTTTGGCTTTCTCGCATTTATACTACAAGTATCGTTTTCAGGCCAAAAGAGTAACCTCAGAACGTACCCGCAATTCAAAATGTACTGTCGTATTCGACCTCTTGAATCATCAGCCAGTTCTACGCCAGCTCTATAACCACATCGAATTCTTGAATAATTTGAGTTTTCCAAATCTTCAATTAAAGACATTTTTGACAATTTACTGTAAAGATAAGAATCGGAAAAGAAGTTAAGGATGTTGTCGAAGTTTGTTGAGATTGCTATTTGCCCCTCCTGTTTACGAGTTAATCTTTCACTTATTGTTGGAAACTTGCGGTAATACTTCATCATGGAATGCGATAGTTCTTTATCGAATGAAAAGTCTGCAGTAAATAATTGGTTTTGACATTGTAAAATTCGAAATAACGGTATTGCGTTTACAGGGCTCCCAATATATGATGCAATAACAAGACCTCGAACTATGTTATTTAAAGCTTCGCTTGGAAGGAAAATATTTCCGTCCAATGGTAAAATCCAGTCTGTGTTTTGACGAAGCGCCAATTTTATTGCGTAATTTCGAAAATTGTTCAAGTTGATAATATGATGAAATAAGGCTTCAGGCGTTTTCGAACAGTTCGGCGTGAAATAAAATTCTTCGTCGAAGAGTTTTAACGTTTGTGTTATAATTTGAGTTTCGGTTTTGTTGAAACTGCATTCAATAATCCAGAAACTATGGATACATTTTTTCGAAGATTTCAAATTATTTTCATATCGAAGTGTATGTTTTAAGTTTAAACTTGTTTGTTGTGGACTTTGCAATGGTTTTAAACTTGGGCCAAGTATTCTTGCAATCGTAATTTTGCGATACTTTCCGGTGCTAGATGCCAGCATTTCACAAGGAGTTTTAGAACTTAGCTGGTCTTCTAAGTCTGTTATATGTCTTATCTGTTCTGGAGTTAACCTTGTCGTTATTTTTTGTGATGTTATTGAATTGAGTTTTGTGTCAAAGATTATAAAAGCAGAAGCACAAATCAATAAAATTAGACTAAATAAAACGAATATTAAGAAACGTCGTTTCTTGATTTTGCAAATTAGTCTAAAAAGCCTTCTGAACATTTTTTTAATTTGATTGTAAAATCTCTGCTTGCATTTCGTCCAGCAAAAATTTCTTCCCATATGTGAGGAAACTCCAATTTCAAACTTAAATTCAGATAAGAAGAAAAGAATGAGAGAAAAATGCGTGAAGAAGAGAAAAAAAATAAAGAAAAAGAAAATAAAGAAGAGACCTTTTTGTGTGTGGTACAGTACACTGATATAACTGCATTGCAAATTTGTATTCCGTTTAGATTTTTATTTAATGATTAATGAAGTGAAAAGAAATCAGAATAGAAGGAGCTTTTAAAGCTTGAAATGAGATATAAAAAGTTAATATGGCCATATTAATATGGCCAGCCTTTGCTTTTTTGTAGAAATTAAGAACTTTTGGTCAAAGAAACGTGGCTTCCTGGGCAAAATTTTAAGATGCCTGAATAAAAAAACACCTGCGCTATCTTAATTTTACCGATTTCTTTTATCTTAATTGCAAACTTTGAAAATAAAATCTAGAAAGTATTTCTGAGAGACTTAAAAAAGCATTTGTAAAAATGGGTCTGATTAATGCGGGAGCTTTTTATATGTTCTGAGCATTCAGCGAGGAACGAATATGAAAGTTTTGAAGCTTTCTAAATGGAATTGACAAAGAATGATGAAACAGATTTTCTAATGACAGCTTTTTTGTGCGAATCTTAGTAGATTTTTTAAAATTTCAACTGTCTTTTTGAACAGTTTTTTGTTGCGAACCTTGAAAATGAGGAGGAACTAAAGCTGCAGGTGTTTTTCTCCCACGCATAATTAGGTTCGAAAATTTAACGTCAGATGATGTTGGGTGAAATATCATTTAAAAGCCCTTTCAGACTTGATTGTATCGATATAAGAAAATTTAAAAGGAATGTTTTCTGAATGTCGAGAAAAGCAGACAGAAATTTTTGGCTCTCAGAAAGACATACTCATAATCGCTTTGAAATAGAGAATTCCTCTAACGCAATTGAAGTGTCGAGCTAGTGTTTTGAGCTGCAGTAATACTTTTTTCATGGGACCGCGTTTTTTTTTACCTTAATGATCGGCAAACCCATTTATTTTGACAAAAAGTTGAATTTGACAGTTTTTTTATTCGCAAATATTATCGAAGCTAGCGCTGAAGAATCGGCAAAGAAACTTTTCCCATCATCAATTCATCTGACAGGGTTACTGAATTATATCGTCAATTTTTAAACAGGCATAGCTTCGACATATATATTGTGAGCAAGTTAATATTTTAATTACTCATTTTACATACCCCAAATTTTTCTGTTAGTCGTAAGTTTTTCAGTTTTGATTTTGTGTAATTTCCATATTTTGAATGTTTATAACTCTGGCTTTGTTTTTCAGCAGGCTCCTAAATTTGAATTTTAACACAGACAAACGTATAAAGTTTTTTGGTAAATGCTGTATATCAATTAGTTTTCCTTAAGGTTCCGTATCACGTTGTTGTTTAGCTTCGCTTATGATGTTGGTGTTGTTTCAAAAGAGCTGCGATGATTTGTGTACTTATCCATCAAATAGTGTAAGGTTAAAACCATTTATTCACAAGTGAAGGGACTCAGCATAGCCAACAGACATTGGGAAACGTGTCAAGAAAAACGAAAAGCTCTTTGGATTTCAACAATGTCTTAAGAATGTTATTTTTTTCAGAGAATATACCCATTTTGAATAAACGAGCAATAGGGTATTTTTTATTCCACTCAGGAATCTAAAATACAGAATTCAAAGTCATCAGAATTCAAAATCAAATTTTGACGCCATTTCGAGTTGGCATTTGGAGAGCGCTATTTGTTTCCTTCAAGCAAATGAATATGGTCGGAACATTTGTTTCCTTTGCGAGCGCAATTTGTTTCCTTCAAGCTGATGAATATGGTCGGAACATTCTGTGCTACTTGTACAGCAACCGGCTATCCTTGTTTCAAAATCAGGCGCCACAATTAATCATGGGTGTGGGTTGAGTGATATATCATATTGAAGCCCTTTCAGTCGTGATTCGAACGACTTTAAAAAGTTTCGAAAAACTGTCCCAGTATCGAGAAAAACTGGTTCAAATTTTTTGATTTTTAAGGTAAATTCGAGAGAGCTTATTTTTGCCTAATTTAGGCCGTGAAAACTTATTTTTACTCAAATAAAGTTGTTGTTGGAGTTTTTAAAGCGCCATTTGGGAATTAAAAACTTTTTTTTGATATTTTTTTTGTGTTCGTAGTAAATGTTTTTTTTTTACAAAAGTGTTGTCCAATTTGACTATTTTATTATGACTCGAATATACTTAAATTCCAGTTTTTCGTTCACATCCTTTTATCGCACCACGCCGAAAAAAACTACCCTCATTTGAAAAAAAAATTCTTGTCCAGCAACCGACTATTCTTATTTTTTGATTTCTTGTTTGTTTTTCTAGACATTTTTCGACAAAAATTGTTAACCATATTTCCTATTTTATTAACAGTGTCGAATAAACCTAAATTTCAGGCTTCGTTCAGATCCTTTTATCACATACAAAATACGACACTATTTTGAAAAATCAATTTTGTTTTAAATTTTGTTTTAGAATAGTTTTTCGAAGAGTATGGTCGGAACATATTGTGCTAATAACACAGCAACCGGTTATAATTGTTCTGAAGTATACTTTCTTAACTGTTGCTATTTTCAGTTCGCCATGTAAATTTTGAAATAATATAAAGTTATTAAAAATTGTATTGGAAACATGTCTTGGTTTTCGCGTACTAATATAACTTCGCTGACTGGCCAATTCACAGATCAACTGTCTTCGTTCACGAGGGATGTCTTGACTGAAGAGGAAGATGAAGGTATGATAGAAGTTACAGGTCTACATACCCCCCCCCCCCCCTCTCTCTCTCTTCTCCCTTCCCCATTTTCAATTATAAAAGAATGTTATGTTTTCCAATTTTTCCCATCCAATCCTATTTTTATGTTGTTAAGTATAGATGACGTTTGAGTTTGAAGAAACGATTATATATCGGTTCTATAAAAAGCCGTACACAGTTCGTAATTGACGAAATGATTTGAAGTTACTTACATTTTTTTAATATATCGCAGAAAGTTGCATTTCAAAGAAGTATCTATTAATCATACCTGTACGTGTCCGCATAAAATAATAGCTTGAGTTCTTTTGGTCCAAGTTAATGGCAATGGAAAATTTTCTGATCGAGAAATAAGTTTGCATACGCGCTAAGAATAATATTAGGTTTAACTAATATAGCAAATAACTTTGTTTCAAGGTCAAACGGGGTCATCCAATGATGTAGTCCCAATAGACGAGGTCAATGACCTGGCAGCTGCGTGTAAGAGGATAGAAGAATTGGAACGAACAGCTGCCAAACTACGTGAAGAGGTAGGAGTCGATAGTAGTTGTATTTTTATAGTAGTTCTGTAATGAGTTGGTAAGTTATTTATAGGACTGGAACCAGTTATTGTGCAGCTCCGCTATGCCTCTGTGTGTAAATTTAGATCACTTTCTCTTGTGCGTTATCGCAAAAAGTATTTAGAAAATTCTTGTATGAAGGGTTGTTACAAAGAGTGAAAATAGTGTTCGGCAAAAATAACAAGGGGGTAGCCGGTTGCTGTGCAAGTAGCACAGAATGTTCCGACCAGAATAATCAAAAATGGGGAACCATTTTTTTTTCTTTCTTTTCTTCTAATTACTATTGTTTTTAGTGGGTGGTATGGTTTAAAAACTATACGATAGCGTAGAAAACTAATGAACTGGGTATAATTGACAATATTTGTCTTCAAAAAACAATTATTAAACAAAAAAATGAAAAAAAAAATCAATTTTTTTTTCAAACTTTTGCAAAATTTTATATTTCTTAGAAATCTTGATTGCCAAATAAGCGCCAAATGAAACATCCAAAAACTAGATTTCTTATCATTAATATCAAGTGTTTTATCCTAAAAGTCTTAAAGAAAAGTAAATTTCCATATAACGAGCGTTACTCGATCGCGTTACTCGAAATTAGACTAAATCTCAAAAATTTAAGACTAGTTTTTCTCGACACTGGGACGACAATATTTTGAAAATATTTTTAATGCTGTTCGAATGAGAGTGGTGAGAGTGCTTTAATATGATCGATCACTCGACCCATTCCATTAATTTTTATACATGAGTTTGCGTGGAACACAAAAAAAACTAGAACACATCCGAATACAAAGTTTCTTCCCATTTTCAATGGTCGGAATTATAATCAATAGGATTGGCAAAATCTCTGGACAAAGATAATAGCTATCATATTCAAACAATCTCAGCTAAATTTTTTAGTTTTACTTGCTTACTTAATTGGGTTACTTTTTTCTTCGGTATCTTTTGTGAATCTGAACCCCTGTGTTGATAATTTCAAGCATACATGATGAGATTTTCCAGTAGTTATGAAGAATAATAAATATAATTCAGAATTTTTTTATTACAAAAAACATATTTCAGAATTGTTTCTTTACAAACAAAAGCAAGCTTCATATCTTAATATCGTATCTCGAACAGAGCCTTTATTTTTTCAGGTGCCTTCTCCCCATGTTTGGATTCCATCTTTTTTATAGTTTTATCCACTTCTTTTCTGTACACCACAATTGAGGCGATCATGGCTGCCAGACACAGTCCATAGATTCCACACAAGAGAAATGCTAAAAATGAACAAAGAACAGTAAATACAAAGGTTGATTTTGACGATCAGAGTAATTTTATTTGATGAAATTGATCATTTAAATGTTTTTTCTATTTTAAATAAAAATTATTTTACTGGACAATATAAAACACAAATGAAGGGTCTTAGTCTCTAAAACCCCTAATTTAAAAGATCATTTTGGGCAACAAAACAAAATTTCATTAAAATTTGACATCGACCGTGAGCAAATTATCTTAGCTTCTGTTTGAAAATATCAATATTTGGTTTTATGGCTCATTTTGCAGGTCTGAAACTGCCTGAAATTGTTCGAAACAATCGAGTTTAGGAAAGATATCACACTACTGAGAGTTTCCGGCTGCGATGAGAGTTTCCGGCTGCGAATGTTCCAATTGGCATGAATATCTGCTTTCCTCCGTTAATTGAGAACGAATTCATGGCGCTTGGATACATTAAAAACTGGCTTTTTAAAACCAGAAATAAAAATGGAAGAACTTGGAATACATTGTTCATACTTTGATTACAGGTATCTGACATGATTTCTCACGGTTGATGTAAAAATTATGGTCAAGCTCTACCATTTAATATATCCAAAATAGGCTTTATATCAGCAAGCTTGCGAGCATTGTGTTATGTTACGAGGTCCGCTTTTACCCAATCCAACCCGTATAAAATAGTGTTCATTTTAGAAACACTGTGCTGCATAGTATTCGCTGTTTAATAACGTCTTTTCTACTTCTTGTGAGTGGCTATTGTTAGCGCTTTCAATGGTGACTGACTCAGTTGTGTAAGGCAGTCGTCTTGGTTGTTCGAGGCCGTAGATTCGATTCCCGTAAAGCGTATTTATTTTTCGTAACTCATTAATGTTTTCAATTTGTTGCGTTTTTGCTAATTGTTTGAATTAGATTTTCTTCCTGCGTTTAAATAAGACTTTTCAAAAAGTAAAAACCTTGATTTGTGTTTTCTTTCTCTTAAAGTGTGGAAGATTCTCAGATCTTCTGGTAACGTCCACAACGTTGTTTTTACAAAAACTTATCGGTCAAGGTGTCAACAACAGTATTTAAGCAGAACAAAATTTTAAAAAGTAACAAAACTACTCGTGTAGAGAAGGCAGATGACAATATGACCCCTCCAACCGTGCCCGAAGTAGGATTTGAACAGACGACTTTCGTGTTGAGAGACGCTTGCCTTGCCCCAATCGGCCAAAGGTGCTTCGATAGCACTTTAAATGGCCTCAAACAGTTTTGATTAAATGTAAACCATTTTTTGAACCCCTAACAGCAAATATAAAATAGTTAAGTGTTAAAATTTGAGTCCTACCTGGAATCAATACAACCAATCAGCTTGCCTCAATTCAATGTTGAGCAATTTTGAGTGCAAGATAGTTTGCCGCGCACAAATATTTGACGTTTGCTTTCTTAAACGATATAAAATCTTCAAAGCGCGCATTCAAAAACAGGAGTTTCAAAGTTTTTCAGATTTTTACCTAATCGATTTCAAGATTGTCCGAGAAATACCTAGTTACAGGACAAGATGAGGATTTAGGGCGATAAGAAAGACCAAGGGCGTTAGATGAGAAATCGGCTGGAAGAGTTAATAGACATCTCAGCGGATATTTTTTTCGAAATGCTGTTTTTTACGGCACGGCAGTTTGTTGCGACAGTTCCTGTTATTAATACAATTTTGCGTCGCGTAGGTTTTCGTTGCAGAAGACCGTTTCGATGGCCAATTCTTCTGCAGAAACATTACCAGAGATGTCTTGCTCGGGCTTAGAGGCCTGCCTGGAAGTATCGTGATTGAAAAAAAAACACTCGTTATTGACGAATTTCGCTTCTCCCTGAACTCAGACGACAGGCGATGTCTTATTTACATACAGAAAATTTGCCGACTTTTGTTTTAAAATATTCGTCAGTTCGATAGAACAGCCAGCAAAGTTTGATTATATGGTGTAGAATCTCAGAATCTACCGAACGTATTGCGCATAGTGAGCAGTATATTGCGACAAAGCATTAAGGGTTTAATTACTAACTTTTTTGCTTGTTACGTAAATAGTTATGGACGTTTCAGCAAGATACTGCCCCCTGCCATTCAGCCCGATTGACTTCGCTTTTTCTAGTGATGACTAAGAGTTCCAGTGTTGTCATGGCCATCTTTTAGACCCGAGCTAAATCCTATTCAGCATGTGAGGGATATTATGAAAGGATAAGTTTGGCAAGGTCATTTTCAAATCTTGGTGTAATTGGCACGAAGAATTGTTACGGCCTGGAACACTTTAACCCTTGAAGTTAGAAAAACTTGATCAAATATATGCTGATAGGAAGGAGTCCATACTGGCCTTTAATTGATTTCTGTTTTGGTTTCGTTTTGACACCCAATTTAAACTTACTGTTTCGATTCTAAATTTCACTAACTTTATTAGTTGCGTACTTTCTTTTTTCTTCGGTATAAGATATATCAGAACACGAAGTAAGGAAAAACTAAATCAAGTAATTACGAAAGACGCACAAAGATAGATAGTTGCTGTGCAAGAAGCACAGAATGTTGCAACCACCAGAATGATGCAAGAGAAGAAATTCTCTAATGACGTTATTTTTCAGAAATAGACAATTGACTTTCACAAGAATAAACAAAGTTTTTTGAAATTTCCTGTATTTTTTTTAAATATGGGATTGATTGTGGGTTTCATTTTAAGTTCAGTTCATTTCCTCTGTTCAAAGGAAGGCAAATTCCACTAGCGAACAGCAAAAGTGTAAAGTTCACTATAAAACACGAGCGACTTCTAGTTTCGAAAGTTGAATTTAATTTTCAGATTTTCAAGCGGAAGAAAATGTTTATTGATCCAAGTTTTCTCAAATTGAGTTAAGATTTCGGAAATTTAAGATTTTAAGAAGAAAAAATCAAGTCATTATATATTGTCTGTTTACTTGCGTTCATTGAGTCTTATTCAACTGTCTGTTGGCTATGTTTTTTTATAGAATTCGAATCGCGACTATTAAGTTTTCATATGATCTATTTTATCTTTCTCTTTACGAACTTACCTTTGTTGTCAAAACTGCCTGGCAATAATTAAATTACGGGCTCTTGTCTATAGTCCCTTCCTCTTTCGAGAGTCGTCGGAACAAGGTTCTTGAAAGACCGATTGAGGTAAATAAAAATGTAAATAGGGTACTTTAGAGAAACCTAATCAGTTTTTTTTAAAAAGATTAAGATTTAACTTAATGGCCAAAAAATCTCGTAATAATTCGACTGATTTTTAGATTTAAACTTAATTCATAATTTAATTTAAAGGCCAAAAAATCTGATATAATTCAATGTTCAATAAAAAATGATTCCACAATGTTCCAATAAAAAATTATCTTAATCTCTCATTACGTCAAAATAGAATTGTACTTATGAATGCCGGTTCTTCTAGATCAATCTTCCATAAAACTCTTCCATAGGGAGCTGGAGTGGTCGTCTCATCTTTGTAGTGATAGTCTTGAAATTCAGGAATCGGAGGTGCATCCGGTTTTGGCATTGCTTCCTCTGTGGACAGAATTCCTAATTTTTAGTTCAAATACTTGTTAGGAAACGTTGGTTACTAAATCATTCGTTTCGGATTCAGGAATTCCAAAAAAGTATCAGCCTGTTGAGTGGAGTTTCCTAACTTTCGGCAATTTTTCTGTTTTTTCTAAGAAATGTCGATTCTTGGGATTCTATCGAAACTGGTGTTTATGATAAAGAATTTTAAGTTCAATGAATTTTGTCCACTTTTGAAGTTAATCGCTTTGATAAAGTTTGATGCTGCAAATCGTCTTTATGCTGAAAAGTCGGATTTTGATCACGCGAAAAGATAGTGTTTAGTGCTTCGCGGGGCTGAAACAATTCTGATTTTATAAGATTTTTTTTGTATAAATTTTTGTACTTGAGGCAAAGGGACATCAATTTTTGGACGTTTTTTTCAGCTCGAAATTGATATGCAACACTTTAAAGCATAAATGAAGTTTCACCAGAGACTTTTCAGTAGTTTTTCCTTATATCAAATCATTCTTTTGTTTTAGACAATTCGATATCAAAAACTAGCCAGCCAAAACGAACAACGAGCAAATTCATACGAAAAAGAGTTAGACCGAATTTCAAACCAACATATCGAAGCAATACAAGAAAAAGATTTCGCGATCAAAAAACTACAGAAACAGCTCGAAGAATTCAAATCGAATCTAAACAGTGGAAATAACGAGTCAGTTATAAGTAATATTAATACTAGTTCTACGTGGAGTAATTTCGACTGGCAAGCAGATACTTCCGATATTACAGTAACTTCCGAGCAAGCAGTTTTTGAAATACCGGATTTATTAGTGCCTGAAACTGCGGATGATACAAGCTTTAAATTGGAAAAACTACAACAAGAAAATGAAAACTTGAGACTCGAACTTGAAGAATTAGAAACTTTTCAAACTGAAAAATTTGAAGCTTTAGAAACCTCTCATAAAGAAAAGATACAAAGTCTAGAAAAGTTCTACAAGTCGAAACTAGAGTGTGTAAAAGCCGAAAATTTAGCATATCAAAATCCAGTATCAAAAAGTTCGGATGAATTTTCTCAGCAAACTGAAAGTTTAGTTCAAGCTGAAAACTTTTCTCAAACGGCTGAAAAGCGTGAAGAAAATGCTGAAGTGCAAACAACAGATATTCAAGAAGCCGAAAACGAACCCAACCAATCAGAATTTGCCATTCCAAATGATTTCGACCCTGCAACTCATTCGTCGCTTGAACACTATTCGTGCACTGTCATCCAAGAACGAATGCCGGCCTTAGCTCGTGCATTGAATGAAGTAATCCTGGAAAATCATGACTTGAAACAGGCCATGAACAAGTGAGTATAATTATTCCGACGACGAAGTGGAAAGCACTTTGTTTTGGATGTGTAATACTGTTTGTTTATATTTAATTTTAAAAAAGGTGCAACAAATAAACGTCAGATAAACTTCAAAAAACTTTCAATCGTGATCTGATCGTTATGAAAAATGTTTCCAAAAATTTTCCGAGTGTCAAGAAAAACCGGTCTAGAAATTATGCTTCGTAGTTCAATTTAGAACGAGCAGAAGTTTGATCAACTGGGATAAAAACTAGGTTATTGGTGAATAGCTCGTTTTGAAACTGTCAGCGCTTCCTCGGCAGTTCAAATTCAAAAACTGTAGAAAGATCTTTTTATTTCTGTCTTTCAAAAAACCTATTGCCAGAAGTTGCAATTCCTAAAGAGTTAATGAACGATTGATTTAGGTTTTTTTTTCACTTTGCAATTTGACTTAACGCGTTCAAAATGCGCTATCAATTACCAAACTAAAGCGGATATGTTGTAACGAATACTCTGAATTGTTTTCATGAAGGGATCTAAATTTTGGAAAAACAGCGGAATAACAAATGCTTTTAACAGGCATTTGTTGAATCTCTAAAAGCTTTAAAATGATGATTTTCTTTTTTAGAGCTCGTTTGACTCTTTTATTATCTGTTGACGAAAATCATTGAATTTTGGATGTGATAAAAACTTGGGTGAGTTATTACAATAGGTGGTAGACTCAAGTTAAATAGCTGAAGCGCTTGTTGCTATACTTCAAACACTATTTGCAATTTATTTTAGAGCCAAATTAGAGTGTGAAATTTGAATTTTTGAAAAAGAGAAATCATCTAGCAGTGTAATGTATTAACAAAAACTATCTGTATTATTATGTATTAACAAAGTAGCTTGTACAATTGATTGTAAATTAATTGAATATTTTTGCCTTATAGGTCTCCTATTTAATATGTGCGCTACTCCAATAGTTCTCAAAATTGTCATCTATTGTAACACACCAAAACTTGTTTAAAACTTCGTTTATTTGGTTCAAAGTTTTCGGTTAGTATGAATCAGGCATTTATCATGAAATTAAATTAGTTTTTAATTCTACTGTAACAAAGATTTGACGGCGGGGTTTTCAATTTACACGTCTTTTTTCTCAGTTTCACTTGCTAAGATGAGGTAGTTAATTTTAAATTCCTTACTTTCTCTGCGCAGTGAAGCTATGTGAACAAATATTTGAAAAACTTTTGAAAAAGTAGTAGTTTTCGAAATGTCATTACTTTGATCTGAAAAAAAAAATAGTTGTTGTTCCGACCACGGAAAGTGGGGAGGAACTTTGTATTCGGGTGTGTTAGTTTTTTCTGTTTTGTTTTCCATTCCGCAAATAATCATAGAATATGTCGAGTGATACATCGTAATAAAGACCTTTTAGGTGATATATCATATCAAAGACCATCGTATTAAAGACAGTGATTCGAACGACATCAAAAAGTTTCTAAAAAGTTGCCTCAATGTTTTACAATTTTTGAGTTTTCGTTCGATTTCGAGCGAGTTAAGCGATTGAATAACGTTCGTTAGGTATGAAATTGGGCCATTTAGTCTTAAAAACTTAAATTTACTGAAAGGAAAATTAGTAAGTAGTTAAATTAGAAAATACGCTTTGTAGTTGCTCACGAATGTGGTCGGAACATTCTGTGCTACTTGCGCAGCAACCGGGTATACTTGTTTCTTTATATATTCAAATCAAGGTTGCAAAAAAATCTGATGTATATTCTCGATTGATTTAAATCCGATTTTTATTATTTTTGACAATGGCAATACGTTTTGGATGATTAAGATTCCAATTTCAGATCGTAGTTTAGTTGTTTCTTTTTAAATGATTTCTTTTTGATTTTTGAGTTTTGAGTCCTTCAGTTTATTAATTTGGTAATTTGGCGGCATATTCGTGTCGAAAATGTGGCAAAATTAGGTTCGGCAAAGAATAAAGTTCAAATGTCGTAGACATAGCCGGGCCCATTTGCAGGTTGCAAATTAGAAAATTGTTCGTTGAAGCTGATGGTACGTCGTCGTTGATTGTAATGGTCATCTAGTTGTTAACTGTCGTTGATCATGTTGGTCATCTAGTTGTTACTGTGGTCCAATACTCGCGAGAGTTTGACTGCTGGTCGGTGTAGAATCCCCCTGCTAGTTTTAATTTCGCAGGAGCGAACGATTCCGTCTGCACCTGGGAATGTACGAAGTACCCGTCCCAGGGGCCAAAGACCTCGAGGCGTTAGGTCTTCCAGTATCCATACAAGGTCTCCTTGCTGAAGATTTTCCAATTGCTTTGTCCATTTCGTTCGGGTCGTCAAGGTTGGCAAGTAGTCTTTGAGGTATCTGTTCCAGAACTGTTGACTCAAGGCTTGAGCTTGTTTCCAAGTTCTCTCGTCCGTTGTGTGGCGAGGGAGAAACAATCCGGGAGGCAAATTGTTTGTTGGTCGTCCTAGTAGAAGGTTATTGGGTGTAAGGGGCTCGTCGTCGGTTGGGTCTGATGAAACGTGGGTTAGCGGGCGAGAATTCATCATAGCTTCAACCTCGCACGTGAAGATTGACAGAGTTTTGTCGTCCAGTGTCCGTGTTCCAATGACTTTGTAGAAGGCCATCTTAAATGTTTTTATGAGGCGTTCCCATGATCCACCAAAGTGAGGGGCTGCAGGTGGGTTGAACTTCCAGGTTATTCCAAGTAATTGGCATTGATTGTTGAAGTCGTTGTTGTGTTGAATCTCAGAAAGGCTTTCCTGTAATTCCTTGTCAGCTGCAACGAAGGCTTTCCCGTTGTCAGAGAAGATGATCCTGGGTTTACCGCGTCTAGCGATGAAACGGCGTATGGCTTGTAGAATTGAAATTGTGTCAATTTGCTGGCATATTTCTGAATGAACTGCTCGCGTGACGAGGCAGGTGAAGAAGAGAACGTATCGCTTACTGTACTCGTCGTTGTTCCGCGTGGGAAAGGGTCCAAAGAAGTCAATTCCTGTTGAGTAGAAGGGGTAACTGTTTTCCGATAAAGGGAGTCGTTGTAGGGGTAGATCTGCCATCAGAGGTTTCACTGGTTCCTGTCGAAGGCGTCGGCAAGGTATGCATTGTCGAATAGTTTTCTTCAGATGCTTGCGTGATCTTATGATCCAAAAGTCCTGCTGAAGAATGCTTCGGGTGTGTTCCATTCCACAATGGGAATTTATTTCGTGTGTTTGCTTCATGAAGAGTTGTATTGGGTAGTTTTCTGCGTTCAGAATGACTGGATGTCGGCTGCAAAGTAGAAGTGGGGCTTTCTGTAGTCGTCCTTTGTCACGTAAGTATCTGTGATCGTCGATGAAGGGGCAAAGAGGTTGTAGAGGGCTGTGGGGTGGAATGTCAGATTTCTTTGTCAGGCATGCTATTTCCTTGGGGAATGATTGATTCTGTGAGTGTTTAATGATCCATGCGAATCCTAAGGTGAGGTGTTGAAGTGAGAGGCTCTGACGTGTCTTCCTTTTGATGTTTTCTGCGAAGAGAAGAACATATGAAGTAACTCTGAGTGCTCTTGTCCAAGTGCTAAATCGGTTGAAGTCGATTACTGATGTTGGCGGTTGTGGGTCGTTGTCTGTCAGATGAATATCGGCTGTAGGTTGTGTTGGCGGGTGATTAGGCCAATCTGATGATGGTCTTAACAAGAAGTCTGGTCCTTTGATCCATCGTGAATCGGTAGTCATGTCACATGCTTTGTAACCACGTGTTCCGTCGTCTGCAGGGTTGTCTTTGCTGGGCACGTATCTCCAGTCCAGTGAAGATGTTGAGTCCATGATGAAATTCAGGCGGTTGGCAATGAAGATCCGGTGTCGTTGATTCGGCGAGTTTATCCAATGAAGAACTGTTGTACTATCTGTCCATTGTGTCGTACTGTCGATTCGTATGTCATGTTGTTCTTTGATGAAACGAGACAGTTAAGCTCCGTTAGTGGCGGCTTGAAGCTCGAGATTTGGAATTGTCATTCTGCTGATGGGTGCTACTCGGGCTTTTCCAATGACGAACTTGAGTTCCGTTGTGTCGTCGTCGTATCTGATTCTGAGGTAAGCAACTGATGCTAAGGCAAGTTCGGAGGCGTCGCTGAATACATGGAGTTGGGTTTCTAGTATCTTCGTTTCTGGTTTGAAGTAAATCCGGGGCAGGCAGATGTCGTTGAATTGGCTTCGCTTGTCTATCCAATCGTTGAGGTCTGTTAAATGATCCAGGTTCGTCCCATTAAGGTCCATTACTCCAGGCAAGTTGAAGCGATTGTCGTAGTCGAATTGTCAGTGGCATCGTAATTCCAAGCGGGTCAAAGATTGAAGAAGCAAACTTCAATAGTTTGCGCTGCGTTAAGTCCTTCTTGTCAATGGCGTGAAACTTCTTTGCTTCCACAAGAAAGACGTCCGTGTCTGGTTTCCATTTCACTCCAAGAACTCTTTCGAGGGGTCGTTCCTTCTTGGTGAGGCTGTCGCTGTTTTCCAAGTGGTTCTCGTTGATTGTTGTGAGGAATTGTTGAGAGTTTGAGGTCCATTTTGTGAGGTTGAAACCTCCAAGGCTGAACATCTTTTGAAGGTCGTTCATTAACTGTGTCGCTTCCGTCGGTGTTGAAACGGCTTTGTATAGGTCGTCCATGTATATGTTGCGTTTTGTGATTTGCTCCAAGGCTGGATATTTGTCGGCATTGTCCTTCGCACATTGTCGAGTGGCGTAGCAGGCAACACATGTTGAGTCGGTAGATCCGAAGATGTGGCGGGTGTATTGGAAGGTTGCGGGTCGGCCCGTGTTGTCCTTCCACAGAAATCGCAAACACGGCTGGTCCTCTGGACTCACGAAGACCTGCATGAACATTGCTTCAATGTCGGCAGAAATAGCGATTTGGTCCTGGCGAAATCGTATAACGATTCCAGTAAGGTTTGTGAGGAGGTCTGGTCCAGTAAGTAGGTTGCTGTTGAGTGATACTCCTTTGTAGATGCTCGATGCATTAAGGACTCGAGGTACCTTGCCAGGTTTATTGATGTTTGTCACTGGATGATGAGGAAGGTACCATTTTCCTGTTGAGTCTTCATAGGAATCATCAACTTTGACTATGAAACCTTTCTGCAAGTCGGTGTCGATGGTCTCCTGATATTTCTGTGCCATCTCGGTGTTTCTCATCAGTCGTTGGAGGAGGCTGTCGAGCTGCTTCTTGGCAAGCCATCTTTTGTTTGGCAGTTGTTGTCCACGTTTCCAAAGCATTCCAACTTCGTAGTGTCCATTGGGCAAGCGGGTTGTTGAAGATTCCAAGATGCGGAGAGCTTGCTTGTCGTCTGTTGAGAGGCTGCGTTGGTCAGTTGAAATCCCTTCGGCGTCCATTTTCATCCATTCAGCTACGTGGCGAAACAGTGTATCGTCTGTCGTGAAGTTGATTGTGTTGATGTCGTTGGGTGTCGCTGCATTGTCTCGTCCACAGAGAGACCATCCAAGTGGCGTTTTCCATCCAATAGGCACATATTGTTTTGAATGGATTACTTCTGAAGGTGTCACGAGTTCGGCGAAATCGCATCCAATGATGATTCCGATTTCTTTCGAGGGCAGTGTGGCTATCCGAATGTGTTGAAGTGGCTCGTTCCTTTGGCAGATGGAGTTGACGAATTCAGGGTTGAATTGGGAAAGGTTCCAATCCATTATGACGTCGATGTCATTTAGTTGAAATGGCTGCTTTTCCTGGTTGTAGGGTCCAATCGCGATCGTCATCTTTGTAGAAGCTGTGTCTGATGATGTCAGTGCTTGGTTTAGCTGGATGGTGTGGTCTAATTGCAGATCTGGTTTGAGTTGGAGGGCGATTGATGATTTAAGCAATGTCAGTTTGCTTCCACAATCAAGCATTGCATAGGCATGAACTCTATGTTTGCCATGAGAGATCGTTATTGGCAGGGTCGGAATGTGGCGAGTCGATTTCCTTCTGCTTATGCTGGTGCTGCAGTTGGTGGTGTCGTCATGTTGTCTGGAATTCCGGTTGGCTGTCTCCCTCTGTGTCGTCGAATTGTTGGCGCTGCTGTTGTGCAGAAGTGTGTGGCGTTTCTTACTGCATCCGTCCGTCCGGCAGGTTTATGTTGATTGACAGTCGGTGAACTTGTGGGGGCTGAGGCAGTTGAAACAGTTGTAGGTCCCTGGCATGCTGTAATCTGTCCTTTGGGTTCATTGCGATGAAGTGTTGGCATTTTCCAAGGTACTGGCAATTGCGTTTCTCCGGGCAAAAATCTCGTCGTTGATCCTTTTGTCCAGATTTATGTTGCTGCTGGCTGCGTTGCTGGTTCCGGTTGTTCTGATTGGCGCGGTGATCCGATGGTCCATGTTGGTGGGTGTGACCGTTGGATGATGATCCTTGAGTGTTGCTGCTGTTGTAGTTGTTGCTGCTGCTTCTGTTTCTGGTGTTGTTGTTGTTGCTGTTGCTCGGCAAATCGCTGCATGCTTCGACGTAGATGTTGAACCAATTGGTGAGGTCGATGAGTGATAGTTGTCTGATGTTGCATTGCAGATTGTATCTATTCCATTCTAGTCGGCAAGGGGTAGGCAGTTTTGACAAAACTGTTTGGACATTTGTCATAGAGTGTAGATCGTGCTGGAATCCAAGTGTCGTGAATGTAATGACCATGGTCTGTAGGAAGTTGGCGAGGTCCTTGTAGCTTCTGGTATGTCGTAGATTGGGGCCGCTGATGGCGTCGAGTCGTCGAAGGAAGGATGTAACTATCTTTGTCGGGTTACCAAAGTCGTTTTCCAGTCGCTGAAGGGCTGCGTCATACATTGCTCCATTGCATCCATATCCTCGGATGAGAGATTTGGGATCTCCGGATACAAGTTTCTGCAGATGTGTCATCTTTTCCGAGTTTGTCATGTCGGTGCTGTTGATGGTTGCGTTGAACAGTCCTATCCAATCTAACCATTGTTCAGGTTCTCCGTCGAATATGAATGGTTTGACAATAGGCACTGATTTCCTGAATGTCTTCGAGATCGTTTGATGATGGTTGTGGTCTGTCGGTGCTGTTCCAAGGTTGGTCGGAATCGGAAAATAAGTCGGCTGGTTCTGATGTGCTGCATGTTGATGTGCTGCATGTTGATGGACTGCATGTTGATGAGGGGGAGGTCGGTTGATATTTGGGTGAGTTGTTCCTGTTGGTCCCCTGCAGCCTGCATGTTCGTAGGGTTGTATGCTGTCGTGGTTCCCAGAAATCCTTCCTGGTACGAACGTATGGCAGGTTGTGTACATTGGTGAGTCAGGGTCGGCTGGCTGGAGGTCCAATTTGTTGCTGTTCGTTGATCTCCTTGGTTTGTTGGCAGTAGTGCTGGTTGTGCTGGTATCGGTACTCCGTTGTTGTTTGTGATACCCTTAGCTGTCGTCTGGTGTCCACTGAACACGTTGGTGGGGGGATGATTGGTTGAATTCTGATTTCCAATCGTCAAGATGGGTCTAAAGGCGCTATTCGGATTATGTGTCCGCTGTTGTTGGCTTGAAGGCTGGTTCTGTTGTTGGCTTGAAGGCTGGTTCTGTTGTTGGCTTGAAGGCTGGTTCTGTTCTTGGCTTGAAGGCTGGTATAGTCCATATGGGGGGCTAGCTGTCTGGGGAGCAAGAATTGGGTGTGTGATTTGCTGTGCAATCATTTGACTCTGAGCTGCTTTTGAAGTTGCTGTCGGAAGAAATATTGGCGCTGAAACATTTCTTTGTCGGGTTGCTGGTGCGTTCATCTGCTGATTGAAAACTTGGATTTGAGTTCCAGGGTTGGAGTGCGGTGACGTTTCATGAAGTTGAGCTTCTGAGTTCGGTCTGTGTCCCACTGTTGCTGTCAATTGCTGATTGTCGATTTGGAGTTGAGTTCCATTGTTCAATTCTATAGTCGTTCCTTGAAGTTGAGCTTCTGGGTGGTTCGGCTGAAGGTTTGAACTTTGTGACAAGTCGGCGTTCGGCTGCTGCAATGAGAGGTTTGACTGAGGATGGAGGTGATTTCCATGGGCAGTTTGAGTTCCAAGAGTTTCTGTTTGTTGTTGATGAATGCGATGATCCAAGGTCTTGGCGTCGCTGTTAGATCCGGGGCGAAGTAGGAGTCCTGAATTGTCCTGGGCGGAATTTGATCTGTGGTTTGAAGTAGCGTTTAAGATTGCTGGCAATCCTGAAAATTGTGGCAAATCGTTCGGGGTGTCCTGGTCCATGGTGACGTTTTGTGTAGTGGTTCTACGGGTTAAACTTTCCGTTTGGCGTCGAAGGGGAAGATTTTCCAAGGCTTGTCGTATTATTGAAGGCGTCGAGTTGTTGCTGGCTACTCGTGATGAGTTTAAAGAAGACGTGGCAGTGTTGTTGAGGGTACGCTCGTATCGTTTTGATCATAGTTAGATCGTTCGGTACAAAACTTTCAAAGTTTTCAATCGTTCAATGATTGAGTCTTGCTGGTCCGTTCCGGTGCGTATTATCTTGACTGCTTCGTTATTGGCATCGTCAAGCAAGCTCTTCAATTCCGTTAAGAAATCGTTTATGATCTGTACTTCGTCGGAATCGCTTATGGCTTGGTTAATTGCTTTTTTAAAAATTTTTACGTCTGTTTCTATGACTCTAAAAACAGCATCATAGGTTGAATTCATTTTTAATTGACTATGTCTCCTAAACTTAATTCACGTTTTGACGTGTCAGACAACAATTCCTTTGATTACATGGAGTGTAAGGAGACTCTGAGAGTCTGAGACGCTGGTTGTAAGGAGTACAAGGAGTGTAATTCCTTTGATTACATGGAACCCTCGCAATTGTATTGTAACAAAAAAAAAGATTGAGTTTTTTTTCTTTTTTTTCTCTGGAACTTACAATCCAAAAAAAGTAAACAATATGATTGGTTAGTATAAGGATGGGTTCGTTGATTTTTCAAACAAAAAAAAAACCTTGGTTTCGGTTTCTTTTTTTTAAAAAAACTATTGTGCGCCAATGACAATGGCAATACGTTTTGGTTGATTAAGATTCCAATTTCATATCGTAGTTAAGTTGTTTCTTTTTAAATGATTTCTTTTTGAGTTTTGAGTCTTTCAGTTTACTAATTTGGCGGCATATTCATGTCGAAAATGTGGCAAAATTAGGTTCGGCAAAGAATAAAGTTCAAATGTCGTAGACAATTTTACCTTGATTTTTTCGATTTTTATTGGAAGCGTTTTTGTTTCAAGAATCAATTAATGTACGCACAATTACTGATTCAACATCCAAAAGAAGAACACAATTTTCTGAGACTGGAATGGATAAATCCGAAAGTGCTGAAAATTTTTTTCATTTAAAAGTATGCTATGAAGAGCGAAGTACGTAACCAATGTAAATACTGCAAGCTGGGTTATATGTTTACCGCGGCACTCGACAGGATAACACAAGGGTTGATTTTTTTTTTATTTTACGATTAAATTCCGATTTAAATCATTGATTTAAATCAAGTTGACTTTAATCATGCAACCCAGATTCAAATCTTCGTTGAGGTTGTAATTTAGCTATTAGTTGAAGTCATAATGATCTGAACAACTTTTACCCGTTTACCTACTGGAATTCAAGTAAAACAATAAATATGTTTAGTGCCCCCTCCGTATCCATGACAGATGATTCCGACCTCCAAAAACACGACCATCATCAGAACAGCTGTGGGAGTAGTGCGAGGAGTGAGGGAGGGAGTACGATTGATTCGACTAGTAGTTGGCATCTGATAGCTTCCCAGGGCAAACCGACAACTGTGGTGACGACCCCTTCATCGCCTATTAGTAAGTTAACCTTTGTTCGAATCAAGTGAAAATGGTTTTTCGCGTTTGTAAAAAAGAGATGGTAGCTGTACAAATTGTTGGTCTTTGTTCTGACCAAGTCACTGAAAGTGACTAGACCCATGTAAACATTCTCTCCCATCACCCCACCCCACACACGTCGACAAGTGAACCCCCCAGCCAAAAAAAGACGAATTGAGCATTAAACAATTTATTCGATAACAATGCAAGAAATTACAATGACAGCCGATCATTTTTATTACAGTACTTTTTTATTCTATCAAAAATGGGCTGATAACAATCCAAGTTGTTCCGACTTTCGAAGAAAGTCTCAGAATATTTGTGCTCAGAGTGTTTTTTTACAGACGAATTTCGACCTTTTAGTTGGCATTTCTCGTAAAGTTATGGGGGTTAAAAGATAGCCAATTTGGGACAATCACCACTCAATATATTACGCGCTATTACCTTGAGACTACAAAGGCCAGGGGTTTGAATCCACCCGAGACCCAGTTTTTTTCAAACTTCTTTTTCGTATTATCATCCGTCTGTTTGTTTTTTGTCGGCTCAGCTGCCGTAGAACGGACTCTTCTCGCAGTTTCAATTTTCTTCTAGCTTTCTGACTGCCATTTCCAAAGCCCCATTTTTGTTGCGGAAATTTCGTTGCACTTCACCGAAATTTTTTTCATGAAAATATTTCTAAAAAGCTTTTCTTGTGTTAAAAATTTGTCCAACAGATTCACTAAATCGTTTTCTCAAGCCTTCATTTTTGTCAAGCCATTGACATATTTTCATTTTGTGTGTATTTCAAATACCCGTTCTATTCAGTATTTGTTTTCTATGTTGGTTTTAAATTTACCAATTCCGGTTCAATGTTACGTCCGTTTTTTGGTTACTCGGTTTCCTATTTATTTATACTTAATAGCGGATTCATATTGCGTTACCTGACGAGCGAAAGACGTTTCTTATGCGTGTGAGTCTTTTGAGAGGGTGATTAGGTTGTTTTTAAAATATTTTAGGTTTTTTCTGCAAAAAAAGTTTCTCTCAACGGCAGCTCAAAAACGGTCGGATGTTTACCGCTTCGTTGTTTTGATGCAAATTTAACATTCAATTGCGTTATTCGGCATGTTTACTGTATATATTTTTTCAGTTTTTCTTGAACTTTGTCGGCTTTGCTAGCTTCTTTCCTCTCAATGTCTGTCTGCTAGTTCGTCATGCTGTTTGTGTTGTATCGCAAGTGGTGTGAATCTCTGCTTCGCCTGTGTCGATCAATTTTCAGTGAATACGATATATCTTCCATCAAAGCCTCTGAATGAACCACCGATTAAATATAATATACATGACAACACCTCAAAAGTGCAAATAAAGTACACATCAGTTTTTCGTATTATTTATAGACGACTGCAGTAAACCAGGTTCGCCTGTGCAAATCCAGTTCCTCAATCAGGGACAACAGACGGAACCAGCTGAAGATGAAGACGACGAAGAAGTGAAAACACCGATTGGTCAGTCAGCCATAACCCAGTTGGGCTTCGACTTCTTCGAGGTGAGTCAAACATTCGGGTCCAAAATGTTTTCTAGGTAGTTCCTTCTGTAATTGTAAATTTAAGTCAAATGTTTTTCAAATTTCCCGCTACTCGTAAAACTACACATACACCATCATAAAAATACACCATTATTTATACGGCAATTTTAATATTTACAATTGCGAGAGCAAGTGTATTGTAGTCGGGAACTAGACTTTTTGTATCCATGGACAACTTTTCTTACACATTTGTAATTGAAATTGATGCTGCTTTTTAAATCGCAGCTTTAAATTCGGAAATACTTAATCCTCGGAAAATACTAAAAGCTTGCTTAATGCTAGTGCTTGTGTTTCTCGTCTGCTTTTCTGAGATTGAATTTTTTGTATTTCCAAAAACAGTTGTTGATTTTTTATGACAACAATTTATTTTGCTAGTTTGTCTTCAGATCAATTGGCGTCTAATTTTGAGTTTTTGGCTTAGTGAATGCTCGGAAATTACTTAAAACTTGTTTAATGCTGTGAAAAATTTTTGTCACTTATTCACGTTGACCTTTTGTGTGAACTACATCAACAAGAGTCCTTTTAAAAAGCCTTTACTTAAAACGATTCCAGCAAAAAGTGTTAAAGAAGCTTGAAAAAGGTCGTCATTTTGTCCCTAATAATGAGCCTGAGAAATATCTGACATTAAGTCTCATAGCATCTGATAGTTCGCTTCGATTCGTCACTAATGGTTTCTTTTGTTTCAAAAAATGCGTCTGTTTACTATGGCAATTATAATCTAATTCAATGTGTAATTTTTAAATTGAAGTATTCTTGAAGCCAGAAATTAGTAATTTTCATTTTTTTTAAAACTTCTGGGAAAAAAGATGGCAACTTTTTTTTATTTCAGCTCGACCATTTAGCCGCTTATCTTTCCACTCATCAACCAGAGAAAAACCCAGAAATCGACTTAGAACTGTTGCAAACAGAAGCCTCAAACTTACACACATCGAACTTACTACTTCTATCTCAGAAATTGATAAAAGAACGAAGTGAAGCGTTACTGAGGCTCGAAGAGGTATCAGCCAGGTTGCAAGAGTCGAACGAAACTCAGGTTAGAATTTTATTAACTTTTCAGTTTTGATGCTGTTTCAGTTCTCAGTGCGTCTCAGTGCGTGGATGATGGAGAACAAAAGACTTTTTAGGCAAAATCGTAATTTTTGATGGTCTTAAAAATTCACTGATCAGTTTACATGGCAGTTTAGCAATTTTATTTGTAAAGTTTGTGGGAGCAATTGTCTCAAAATCACAAATTACATTTTTAATATTCACACAAGCGAGGCCATATTTTTTCAAAAACCGTCCATTGCACAGATTATTTTTCGGGACTTCAAACAGCTCCCATCAAACCCGATGTCAACCAGTCTTTTTACTGGTTTTTAAGAGTAATGAACGTAGTAAAGACTCTTTTATAGGTCTTGCTGATTTTTTTTTTCAGTAAAGTCTTAAAGTTTGATCACGCTCAGTTTTGATTTTTAGCGGTATGCCATGTGATTTCTTTTAAGTTCAGCGCTTTTCTATTTTTTAAAAGAAGGCGAACTCCACTATGGAACAGCAAAATTGAAAAGGTCACCAAAAAACGCGATCAACTTCTAATTTTGAAAATGGAAATTAATTATCAGTTTTCACAGCAAAATAAAAGCTTGAGCTATTGATCCAGGCTTTGCTTTTTTGTTCAAGGCTGAATGAAAGAAGTGATTTATCACTTATTTAGGTCGCATTGTCTCGTTTTTATGTTTCACTTCACTTTATGTTTCACTTCACTTTATGTTTCACTTCACGAAAATGTTTCACTTCACTTTTTTCCAACCTACTCGCAATTAAAAGTGTTCGGGTACATGCCGACTATGCTAGTCTCTCCGCCTTGATATCCGAGTTTCCTTTCGTTGGAAAGTGCTGGTCGAATCCGAATGTGTTGCTGGAGGAATGGCATGTATGGTTGCGTGCACTGATGTTGCGCTGTATTCCTTTCAAGACTTCGCACCGAGTTACGTTGCCTCCCTGGGTTTCACCAGAATCGTCCCATCTGATGAAGAAACTGAAAGCTTTGAAGAAAGGCGCGGTCAAACCATCCGCTACCATATTTCAGAAAATACAGTACTCGGAAGCAGTTCTGTCAAATGCTCTTGAAACTGACAAAGCCGATTACGAATCCAAACTTGCTGAAGGCAGGAGCACCAAGCACCTTTTTAAATACTTCAAGTCCCTGAACAGTAGCTCGCTAATTCCAGCTAGGATTCACTGGGGCAACCAGACTGCTGAAAGCGCAACACACCAATGCGAAATGTTCAACAAGTATTTCAACTCCGTGTTTTCACCGGCGTCAACGCGCCCTGAAGCTCCTAGTAATCCTGTTCTGACCGACTACGACATTTCCCCGCTCAAAATCAGCCAAACTCTTGTGGGACTGGATGTTACGAAGTCACGTGGCCCCGACCAACTTCCGCCTGTTCTTTTCAAAGAAGTACCCGAACTTTCACTGTCTCTATCAAAACTCTTCTATAAAATACAACAAACTTGCGTATTTCCAGACCAGTGGAAAGTTGGGAAGATAAGCCCTCTTTTCAAAAAAGGATCAAAAGCAGACGTTACCAACTATCGACCTATTACGTTGTTGAACATCTGTTCTAAAGTGTTCGAGAAATGCATATTTGATGCGTTATTTGAGTTTGTGTACGATCGCATTCCTTCATGTCAATTTGGCTTCCAGAAGCGGAAATCGCCTGTATTACAACTCTTGATCTTCCTTGACAACATTTATAAAGGGGTGTTGAACCCTGGCAATGTTGTCGAAACAGTGTACTTAGACTTCTCAAAAGCCTTTGACAAAATCAATCACAGCATTCTTCTCCAGAAGCTTCAGCATCTAGGCGTAGGAGGAAATCTGCTGAAAATAATTAAGAGTTATCTATCTGGTCGGAAGCAATATGTTCAGATTGGCGAAGCAACATCCGGTTTCCTGTTAGTCACTAGTGGCGTTCCCCAAGGATCCATCCTTGGTCCCCTTTTGTTCCTGATCTACGTGATGGACATAACCGATGGCTTGTTGTCTTTACCCTTCTTATTCGCTGATGATACCAAATTATTGTCAATTCGAGATAAAGGCTGTTCTTCGTTTCTCCAACAAGATTTACGACTATTGGAAACGTGGTGCGACTTGAACGATATGATTTTCAACGTCGATAAGTGTCATCTCCTCTCCTTTACGAAAAACTGCCCCAGCTCTCTGATTTTGTATAACGAAGAACTGAAAACTGTCTCGTCCGAAAAAGACCTCGGAATTATCATCTCGACCAGCTTGAAGTGGAGCGAGCATATCACCTATATCTGCGGCAAATCCAATCGAGTGCTCTCAATGTTGAAGAGAAATTCTGCTAGACGTCTCCATTGGCACCAAAGATTGAACATGTACAAGTCAATGGTACTTCCCATTCTTTCCTATGGCTGTTGCGTCTGGAATCTATCAAAAGCCGACATGAAAAGCCTCGAACAGGTGCAACGAAGAGCGTCTGACTGGATCTTAGGATACCCTGAGTTGAACTACAAGCAACGTCTCTATGCTCTCAATATTCTTCCTTTATCGATGTATTTCCAGATTAGTGACCTCTTGATGCTCTCCAAGCTTCTCAGCAAAAAATACAATGTGTCACTTAACAACCACCTGACTCCCTATATTCAAAAATATTCAACAAGAAATTCAGAAAAGCAGATATTCGAACTACCAGATCTAAAGCTCGAGACAGGCCGTGGTAATTTTTGGTACAGGACTCCGCGATTATTTAACAAACTCGTCAATCTTCTTGACGACGTGGGCCTCAAGAAAAGACTCGTTGCCTTTTTCTGGAGCTGGTTTGAAGCAAACTTCGATACAGACAAACCATGTACTTGGATTTTCGCTTGTGACTGTGCAAACTGCCGGGAAACTCATCCTTAGTTTTCATAATTTTTGGGTTAACGCCCTGCGACTTTGTCGCGAAGTCTTAATAATAATAATAATAATAATTTAGTGGCTTTTTTGCTATAATCACGATCTGTAGAATTGAAAATTTCAGAACATCTGTCACAGCGTTCGTGATTGAATGTTTAGTGCGTGACACTCATAATCTCTAGGCTGCAGATCGAATTCCAGAAGTGAAGGAGTTTTTACTAATTCGAGGCTAATTTCTACTCTTTCTTATTACACTCGTGAAAGCTGTTTTTGTCGTGTTCGAGCGTCGCCTCTATGTTAAAAACATCACTTGCATCATTTCGTACAACAACTGTTGTTGCACAAGAGAGGAGCTAAAGACTGCATTTTTCCTACCCACATCGCAAATAAAAGTGTTCATTGTGATGCCTTGTTGTTGCATAGTATCGGCAATTTAAAAGCATGTATTATCCATTTTATGAGTGACTAGTGTATGGTTTCTGTAAAATCAGTTCCTAAAATCAATTGCTAAAACAAAGGCAAGTTACTCGCGTCAAATACGCAAGTCAAAATGGCTTAGAAGAAAAATGTGATCTGATCGACTTTCAGTTTTGAAAATGAATATAAATTTTTAGATTTCCCAGCAAAGAAAAACTTTTTGATCCAGTTTTTTTTCTAATTGGGTTATTTTTTTTACACAAGCAAAGCTTGTGTGATACTATGTATGAAATATCTTTTTTCCAACTTAAGTCGCAAGTATTAGTGTTCATTTTGATCAATAACCAGCTATGATGTATAGCCAATGCTAAGAAATGGTACTGCTAATGCGTCAATTGGCTTGCGTCACTTAGCAATTATGTAGACTCATAATGGGCGTGCGTCACTTATGAAATTTTGTAGACTCAAACTTTTACCCATTCAGTTTTTCCCAGTAGCGTTATCGGTCATATTTTTGCTTGTGTATGCGAAGTGCAACTTCGCCTGTGTAAAAAAATGTCAATCATAAAAGATTTTTTAAATTGCAAAACCTGATCGTGTTCATTTTTTTCGTCGAAAGTTGAAAAATGAGTTCTTTTTTCAAGTATTTCAAAAAAAAATGTGCATTTAATTCATTAACACTACTCAAACTTTTGGTTGGCTGTTTCGAAGTTCTGATGGACTAGTTAGTTTCTAAAAATATTGATGTGTTACCACTGTTTTTTCTTTGTCGCGTCCTTCAATAACTGTTTCTTTGTAACGCTTTCAAATCCTTCATAGTTTTTTCATTTTTCTTTCTGCATCTAAGATTATGCAAAGTTCTGCTTCGCAATGTCAGTTAAAACTGTTATTTTAGCCTTTGGAAACAAAACCAGGTGAAGATGAAAAGCTTTCCTCTGAAAATGAAAGACTGCAATCTCGCATTAAAGAACTTTCAACTGCCTTGGAACTCGCCGACCAGGAATTACAGAAAATAGACATCCATGCAATAAGTCCACCTTCTCAAGACCAGAAATTAGAAAGACGCTCTAACCATTCTGAGAGCTCAGAATGTGTGAATTGTGAAGATTTGAAGCAAACTCAGTTTTTGCTGGAAGAATCTTTATTATCGAATCAAAAAATGGAAGTGGTTATGGAAGATCAAAAACTAAGTTTGGAGGAACTGCAGCAAAATTTAAATAATCTTCAAGTCAAAAATTCTAAATTAGCGGCTAAAAATCAATCTTTGCAAGATTTGACCGAAGAATTAGTCAATCAAATCTCAGAAAGTGAGAAAAATTTAGAGAAATTAAAACAATCTCAAATAGAAGTTTTGAGAAATTCTGGAAATAGCGAAGATTTGAATCAAGATAACATTGATCTAAGTAGATCACCTGGATTTCAACTTACCATTCTAACTGAGTTACAAAATGAAGTTGTATCTTTGAAAAAGAAGTTGAAAAGGAGCAAAATAGGGTTGGAATCGGGAACTGGCAGTAAAGAAAGTCCAAGTCCTAATTTACAGACAACATTCCCGTTAGAAAATTCAGAAAGATCTGTATTAGAACAAGCTTTACTTGACAAAGAAGAAGTAATAATGCGGTTGAATCGTGAAATTGAAGGTTTCAAAATGACGATTTCTGAATTGTACCGAGAAAATAACTCTAGATTTGAAACGCAGTCGGAATTAATATCTCTGAAAGATCAATTGATAGGTCTTCAAAGTACACTGGAAAAGCAAGAAGATCAAATAGGCAATAAAGATTTTACTATTGAGAAATTGCAACAAGATTTTGAAAATCTGAAATCTCAACATTCCGAAGAAATTGATGCTCTAAAATTAGAAGTTGAGAAATTCCAGGCTTCTTGCGAAGAATTGAGAAGCAAGGAAAAACGTTTAAATGTCGAAATCTCAAACCTAATGCAAAACTTAGACGTCGTTACTCTAAAATACGAAGGAATTTTGAAAATGTTTTCTGAGTTAAGCGATGAATATTTCCCTCAAAATGAAAATTTGAAGCAAATTGGAAATCAAGAATCAATAAATTGTTTGTTGGAAGAAATTAAAGTAGCGTTGAAGGAAAATCAGGATTTGAAATCGGTTTTGGAATCTGAAAACGAAGAAAAAGACCAAAGTGTCGTGAAAATTTCTGAACTTAATAGTGCACTTAAAAACGTGAACAGTGATCTGGAGCTTGAACGGAAGTCGAACTTGGAACTCCGTGAACAAATCCAAGAAATGATGAATAAACTTTCAAATGTTACCAACGAGACAAACGAATATGGACTTCGCCTTAGACAAGTTTCAGAAAAATTAGCATCTTCAATACACGAAAAATGTGATCTCAACACGAAAATTAATAATTTATTACTCGAAAGAGAATCATTATTAAAATCGATCGAAAAACTAAAAGCCGAGAAAGAATCTTTAATAAAAGAAATTAATGCTCTGCAAAAAGAACTTGATGATGTTAAAGATGTTTGCGAAAAACTAACAGTCGAAATTGAAGAATTAGTTAGCAGAAATAGTGAAATTAGCGACGAAGTTAATCGAGAAACTGCAATTTTACACGATGATTTTAATGTCAAAAATGAGCGTTTACATTCGGAAGTTTCAGAATTAAAATCAAAAATTGCCTCAATCGAAAACGACCTGCAAAATTCAGAGAGTAGCAAAAACGAAGTTTCGAGCCAGCTAGAAGTAAAAAACAACGAATTAGCTAAAGTTAACTTAGACTTGAAATCAATTTACGCCAAATTGGAAAGTATTTTTGAAACAAGTGATTGTTCAGAAATTTCAAAAATTGTCTCTTGGATGAAGAATGAAACAGAACGCGTTGAGAATGAATGTGTCTCAAAAACTCAACAGTTTATCGAAATATCAGAAGAATTTGAATCCTTGAAACAAGAATTTAGAATTAAAGACAAAGAATTTAGATCAAATGAATATAAAGCAAAACGACTAGAACGTGATAATGATGATTTAAAGCTGAAAGTTCAGAACTTGGCAGATAAAAACGAATATTCATCAGATGAATCAAAATTACTAGAGGAGAAAAACCAAAGTTTAGCTGGGACAATTGAGCAATTAGAAAATTATTTGCAAATTTCAGAGAAAAAATTGAGCGACACTTTAAGCGGTGATTGGGAACAAAGGTATGAAAAAGAACGCGAAACAGTCGAAACTCAAAAAAGTCAAATTCTGGAGTTGAGAAGTTTAGTCGAAGGTTACGAAAGTCAGTTAAATGAGGCTCTTGAGGATTACGAGTCGCTAAAACAGCGGTATAATTCAATTTCAGAGAGGGTTTCTGGTAATGATCGGGCTTTTCAGGAAGAAATTTCTACTTTAAAAGAGAAAATTAGTTCTGCTACTTCTGAAAAACTTGAATTTGAAAAACAAATTATAGATTCGAGAAATGAAATTGAAAGTTTGACTCAGCAATTACAAGAAATGTTCAATAAAGTGCAAAAATCAGAAATGGTGGTTAATGAAAAAGATAATCTTATTGTAAGTCTGAATGAAAAATTATCGAATACCAGAGATAAATTATCGACAACTGAAAAATCGTTGCAAAATATAGAACAGCAAACCACTAAAAAACTTTCCGAATATCAGCACGTTTTTGAAGTGAAATCAGAATTGGAAGAAAGCACCGAAAAATTGCAAACAGAAATAGAGAAACTGAGAACTAAAAACGAAGCTTTAAGTGAAATTTTGAACGAAAACGAAATTGGTTGGAACCAAAAATTCAAAAAGCAGCAAGAAGATTTCGAAAATTATGCTCAGCAAGCTTACCAAGTAAGAGCGCACTATGATCAGTTGCTATTCGCTTATAACGAGAAAACAGCGCAGTATTCAAAGTTGGAAAAAACGGTAGAAACTTTACGAGAAGAAAACTCAAAACTAGAAGAAAAGTTGATTGATTCATCATCTATGGCGCCAATGACCTTGAGTGAACCGGAAATTTGCACGGAAGTTGTTCAAAATGTTACGTCATCCTCGGGTTATCCGCCAGATTTGGTTCAAATTTCCTCTGCTGGTGGTCAAAAAATGGCGATTGAGGTTTTACAAAAGGAAGTCAACTCCAAGAATGATGTAATATCGCAACTGAAAGTGGATATTTCAAAAGAACGAGAAGCCCTCCGAGCGAAAAATGAAGAGTTGAAGAAATTTGAAGAAAAGGTAAAAAAGTCATAGTGATTTTTTTTGTATTATAATGAAAATGCGAAAATTTTAAGAACAGGTAAAACAATCCTAATTGAAAAACTTTTACTGGCAAAGGAATAGATGAATCAAAAATATCGTAAATTTTGTTGAATTTTGGGCTTTTATGGCGCATATATTCGACGAACTCCACCACAAGGTTTTTCTTGCGAAAGAAAGGCATGGCGCTTTACAGAGATATTGCAGAAAAGACTCAAATAATAATGATGAAGTTTTGTTATTTCTTCTTCTTAATATAACCAAAATAACCTCCCAACCTTTTCTCATATAATGTTTGGTTAGAGACAGAATATGATGCTAATACCAAATTTATATAGTAATAGAGTATTTTCAGTTTTTGCTTTTCAGATAGCCGACCTAACCTCCCAAGTGACCCATAAATCCAGCCAACTGCAAGACGTGACTTCCAAAAACGACAAACTAGCCCACGAATTAGTGAGGCTGAGAGACCACATGTTGAAGATAGAAGAGGGGTATACAATGGAGGCATTGACGGCTGAGGAGAGAGAGAAGAATTTGAGGACTAAGTTGTACCAAGTGGAAGACCATTTGCAGAGACTGACAAGTAGCAGTAATGTCATCGAGTAAGTGAACTTGATATTTACACAGCGTGAACTTGATAGCACGAAGTGATTACTTTTTTGTTTCTTTTCCAAGAAAAGTTTGAACGTTTGTTCACGCTCGCCGTTTGACTTATGAAATATTTTCAAATTCACTTCATTTCCGCTGTATAAAGGAATACAAACTCCACTATCGAACAGCGAAAGTGTGAAGGTCGCCAACAACGTGATCGACTTCTAGTTTCGATAGTGGAATTTAGTTTTCAGATTTTTCAGCGGGCTAAAAAAATTGCCTGTTGATCCAGTTTTCTCAAATTGGGTTAATTTTTTCAAAAAAGGGTCAAGCAGAAATTTTTCTTGAAATTAAAAGAGCTTCAAAGCCACATATTCTTTTGATTTTCGAAAATGAAGTTTTTTCGGTTTAGTTGCGTTTGTTGACTCTTTTCCAGCTGTCTGTTGGCTATATTCACTAATATGTAATTGACCATTAGGGGTAGATTTAGTGGAAAACACCCCTCTCGAGATTGTGTTCTCAACGTGTCATGCATTTCAGCTTATGTGTTTCTGCTGTATTCGCTCATGCATTGATTTTTTCTGCTAATTATTCTTGCGATTAGCAAGCGTTATTAAACCGGAATATTAAACCAGACTTTTTTCTGGTTGACAATTTGTTTAACTTCTATCTTGGTCCATAATGAATTCAAACCTCTATGCGTGTACCGCCTTTAGCCAGTAGGTGAAGAATACGCCTAGGACGGCAAGGTCGTGGTTTATAATCTAACCAGGAATTGTTTTTTTTTCCAAATGTTAATATTCCGTATCAACAAATGTCGGCTTATAGTATGTTGGCTTTACAGCCACATCATAGAATTGCTTTTTTGCCCGCAATTTTTAATATAGTTGCATTCAGGGTTTTGAATTACTCCAACTTCTAATTTAATGCTGTTTTTTTTTTTGCTGAAAAACTTTATTCGGCTTAAATGGTTTGGGCTTATATTCTATTGGCTTAGTGACCTAATTTGAGGTCGTTTCACAGGAAGCATAAGTTTTATGATTCATTCCAGATCGCACAGAATGCTAAAAATCTTAGAATAGAATTTCTAGTTCAAACTTTTTCATGACAACATATATTTTCGGTTCTACGGTAAGTGATTTAAGTTTCGTCGGCTCAGTTGCCGCATGTTAATTATTTTTTGAGTTTTTATTTCTTATCGTCAATCGTGTTTCTGGATTTATTTTCCGCAAATAGAGCATGATTTCAGATTAGTTTTGAAAAAAAAATTGGATCGAAGAGTTTCTGTTCAGGTCTTTTCGGCTTTGTCACCACTTGGTTGATTTTGTTTCGATGCTTATAAAGACTATTTACCTATTGTTATCGCGTCACTGACAATCTTTTGAATACATCAGTCAAAAGTACCCCCTCCCCCATTAAAATTCATCCCCGGTAAGCATGAAGATTGATAATGGCTATGTCGAGTCTATCTCTTTTTTGCTTATCAGCTCGGAACTGCTGTCCAAAATGAGCGAGCAGGAGAAACAGTTGACAGAAGTGACCAGTAGAGCCAATCAGTTGGAGACCCAATTAGAGGAGACAAGTGACCAGATGAGACTGTACAAGGATGCCAGTCAGAATCTCCAGATGGTGCTGGAGAACTTCCAGAAAGGTGGGTTGGATACTTAGGCGCGAAAGTGCTATGAAATGCTCTATGAAGCTAATAATCGATCAAATTATGTTATAACTGGTTTCTTATAAACAGTTTTTTTTTAGTTAACAGCAGCCATTATAAATCAATTTGAAATCAATTTTCAGAAAATATGTGGCAGAAAGTCACAAACATCTTGACCATTTTAAAAAGTCTTCAGTCGTTAAAAATGTGTGTCAATTTTTCTGATATTGATGTTTATTTGCTGGATGGAAAAACTCTATTAGAAATTTTAAATCACGAGGCATACTATTCATAGTTTCATAGCATTCATTGTCTCATAGCAATACATTCATTATTTCAGAGCAGGAACGTGAGAAGCGTACCCTGGAAGATACTTTCGACCACCGTGTCCAGTCCCTCCAAGAAGAAAAACGCCAACTTGAGTCAAAAGTGGCCAAACTCACTGCACGTGTGGGCAAACAGCAGGAGTTGCTCGAACAGGCGGCACATTTGAGTGGGGAGATGGAATTGAGGGAGGAGGAAATTGAGAGGTTGAGGGGGGAGGTGGATGCTCAGATGGTGCAGGTGAGATTAGGGATGAGATGTGTGTGTGTGTGTGTGTGGGGGGGGGGGGGGGGGGGGTTGGGAGTCGGTAGTCGGTAGTTTGATATTAGAGACAAAAAAAATCAGCTTTCTGAAGAAAAGAAAAACGTTTTCGTACTGTTCAGATATTTTCATTGCCTATCTTGGATTTTAAATTAACTTTAAAAATGACTATAGTATTCCTTATGAAAAAATTAAGTAAGTTTTCATTTGTTTTTGAAAGAAAAAAGCCTGGTAGCAAAAACGGTTTTTAAAAAATGGCTTTTCCAAGGAAAGAAAAAAATATTTGGCAGCGAACGATTATATCAGAATCATTGCTAGTTGAATTTTTACAGGTGACCAAATGGAAAAAGAAGGCACAGGAAGCAGTAGGTGTGGGCGAAAAGGTTGAGAAACAACTTGTGCGGAATCTGTTGGTTGCCTATCTAACTGTGCCTGCAAATAAAAAGACGGACGCTTTAAATATGATAGCGAGATTCTTGGAGTTCTCCGAACAGGAGAGAAACAAGGTACAATTTAGATTTCAGATTACTTCTCGAGACCTGTTGTCAAATTAAACTTATATAATTATAATAAATAAGTTATTATAATATTTGCTGCGCGTAATTCCTATTTTTTCAGAACATTTCAGTATATTTCAGGAATCTTTTATGTAAGTCTTTTTCTTAAACTAAGGCACGCGCCTCTGTACATGAGGATCTTGCGTTCGAATCCCCCTTGGTCACGGTTGGAGGAGTCCCAATGTCATCCGCCTCCTCAAGGTGGACCGCCTACGGCAAAATGGATGACACCCCCCTCCACCACGGTTGGTCACAGATTGAGTATTGGCTGCATTGACTAGTACAGGGGCTTAAAAATGAGAGAAGTCTAATTGAGAGTTTTCAATATGCCTGGTTCATTTTAGTGGCTGAAACAATTTAATTGATCACTGATTGATACATCGACGATTTTAAATTGGTGCACATTTCAAATAGACAACACATTGATTCAACGGTTGATAAATCATTTATGATAGAATAAATTAGGATAGCTCCATAGATTCTACAGATTCGGTGTCTTCCTTTTACTAGAGAGCTGGTATCATCTTATACGAAGCAGGAAATTGGAAGAAAGACGCGCCGATAAGGTTAAGAAAAAATTCTGTTGTGATATACTGGAAAATAAAACTTGAAAATACATTTTTTTGAAAAGCATACAAATATAATTTTTTGTACAGCAGTTTAATTCAGTTTGTGTGATACAACGCTGTTTGAAACGTTTTCAAATTTTTGCTCTGTATTAATTGCCCAGGGTGGCCTCGGTGTCCGTGCCCGCAAATCAGTGTGTCACAAAAATACGTACAAGATTTGTTCACTCATCCATTAAAATTGAAAAGGGCTAACGCAGTAAGAATTTTTTCAAGTAGTTCGAGCAGCTCCTCTGCGAAAAACTTGTCTGAAGCAAAATTTCTGAAAAAAAAATTTTTTCTAAGCTAATTTTTGAGAATAAATTTTTTCAAAACATGGTTTTTAATTGTCGTAAATGTTGTCGAAAAGGAGAAAACGCTATTTTTAATAGTTGATGAACGTAGTTCAGACTTTTTATTAGTCGTGATGATTTTTTTAGAAGCCATAAGATTTGTTAAAGGCTCAAATTTGATTTTTCGAGATTTGAATTTTGTTTTTTCATTTTTTTTCTTTTTCTTTAATCAAAGGAAGGCACACTACACTGTCGAGCAACAAAAGCTTTAATGTCGCAAAAAGTTTTTTTTTCGACTTTTTTCTTGAAAATGTTTTTTAATTTTCAGATTTCCCAATGGAATAGTAATTTTACTTTTTGATCCAGTTTTGTCAATTTGGGTTGATTTAATCAAAGGTGTTTACCCTAAATTTTTTCTAGACATTCAATGAGCTTGACGGCATCTATTTTTTCTTTGAAGTTCGAGAGTTGAGGTTTTTTCGAAAAACAAATGTGAATATTTTTGTTTTTACTTGCATTTGTTGACTCTTTACACAAAAAAAGCTTGTGTGATATTATGAACTCTTTTTTTCCGACCTAAGTCGCAAATATTAGTGTTCATTTTGATTAATAATCAGCTATTAACTACAGCCAATGCTAAGAATTTTGACACAGACTGTTATATTACAAATAGCTCGTTACCTATAGAGGTAGAGAAGGAGACCCGCAACAAAATAAGAGGGTTCGCATCTGGTCAGGTTCGGATGTTTTCATTGAGCTTTTTCGTATACTAATTAAAATCCGTCCGCTCTGAAATTTGAGGCATGATAGTTGGTAAATAGTTGGTAAAGTGACTGGTACTGCTAATGCGTCATAATTGGTGCGTCCCTTAGCAGTTATGAAGACTCATAATTGGCGTGCGTCACTAAATAAATTTTGTAAAGATTCAAATTTTTACTCATTCAGTTTTTCCCAGTAGGTCATATTTTTGCTCTGTGTCCAAATATCTGTTGGCTATGTTTAGAAGATACGCCTGGCAATCATTTTTTTCAAGTTCCGCAATTTTTGAGACACCATGGCCACTTTGTTGCCCGAAACTAGATTTATGGCTAGGTTTTCTAGCTAAGTTCTGAACTCGGTGCTGCTAGTTTTAAGCTTCCAACTTACCCTAATTTTTAATGTGTTCATTTTAGGTTGGAATCAACGCACAACGTGGTTGGTTCTCAGGATGGATTCCTGCAACGCCTGCAAGCTCAATATCCCAGCAAAATAAACAATCCACAAATACAGAAAACACAGAACAGGAATCATTCACGAAGAAATTCATCGAATTCTTAGAAAACGAATCAACCCAACCGACTGTTGTATCGTTACCTCATCATCATCTGAACCCACAAACAATGGGCGAAATGACGATTGAAACTGGATTTGGGAGCTCCGGCAAAGCAAATCAGCACAGTCCGGCGAGTAGTACTGGGTCCACTTCGTCGGCGAGGCTCAATTTCGGAGCGCAATCTAGGCCAGGTGATAGTAAAGGGGGATTCAATCCGTTTTCACCTTCAGTTTTACCCCAACTAAGACCGCAACATTCACCTAGTCCATCTTTAAGTGGTAATAGTCAGTCTTCCTTTGATGACAATAGTGAGCAACAAAGTAGTTCAAGACATCATTTTTCGAACCAACATTCGGGAGGTTCGAAAACAAGTCAAATGACGTCATCGCGAGAAGGTTCTAGAAGAAGTAGCAATAGTTCCTCAGTTGTGCAAGGTGGCGTGGGTGTGTCAGCTTCGGGTGTTGTTTTCACGACTGGGGGTCAAGGTTACTCGAGTGATGATAATTCGGACAGTGTTTCGTCTAGTGTATCGACAAGAGCAGAGAACAGTTTTCTGAAAGATTTATTGAAAGAACACTAATCGAACTAATTATAAAATATATATACCATCTCAATAAAAGTAGAAGCAGATTTCGTTGTTATTGGACCTTGTTTTGATTTTCAAGAAATTAAAAGGTGAAATGAGTCGCGATTTTAGAGCCAAAAAATTAAATAAAGTTTAAAAGTCTGCCTCTATTTTTTTCACTAAATTTCGGTTGTAACTTGGAATTGAATAATTATTTCTCGCTTTCATTTTTAAAAAGAATTCACTGATTTAGCTCGATTAATCTTTGATTAAGTTAGAATGAAAGTGTGCTAGAATTTTACAAAAAATTGAAATAAAATGAAATTTTCACTTGGTGCTAGTGGTTTTTACTTTCTCCCGATGAAATTGATATTCTCAAGAGAAAGAAATATATTGTATTATAATTAATGTAGATTACGAGAATTGTAGTTTTTCGGTAGTATATATAACGGTGATTTTTTTTTTAATTTTCCTAAAAATCATGAAAAAATCTAATCCAAAATTAAGCTGATCTTAAACTGAACGGATATCGATTTTTCATAGTGTTAATTAATTTTGACGAAGCTAGATTTTGAAATCAATAAAAACATCAATAAATTTTGTAAGTGGGATATTTTTCTTTGGAAAAGGAAGAAAATTTTGATTTTGAACAGTTACATGGGTACGATTTTGGCCATAAATTTAGTTTATTGTCTCACTTGTATAATATGTTGAACTTTTGTAGCGTTAATGTTTTTGCTGAATTCATTATTCCTCATATTCTTTTGATCTACGGTTTATAGCAGCAGCTATCTTAAAAATAATTTTGACAAATAAATTTGTCCGCTTGAAATTAACCATTATTTAGTAGTGGGTTGCGTAGTCTTGTTATGGGATCTTGCTCAGTGCGTACTTCAAAGAAAGTGTTGCCTTTTGTAAAAAAAATAGTCATTTTTTAGCTAGTGTCTGCAAAGTGTAACTTGACCTCCGTGTTTTAATGTTGAATTAATTTTATTAATAATAATATGTTGGTTTTTGATATCAGAGATTATTCAACAGACATTTGTCAATTTACATAATTCTGATATGCAAGGACATCAAAAGGCCCGATAGGCCTAGTCAGTTGATGCCTTAATTGAGCAGTACAATTTCTCAGAAGAACTAAGAAGTTACTACAGTAAACTACTATCAGTTGTCGATACCATACAGCCCCCTCTCTTAAAAAAAATCGATCATTTCTTTATTTATTGTGATGTATAAATTGCGAAAAAGTGTTTAATTGACTATCATTAGGGTTGCTGACTGTATCAGCAAAATCTTCGAAAAGTTTTGAATAAAATTGAATAGTTTTCTTATCCTTTTACCTATTCTTTTCGGCCTTTAATCAGTGAAATTATTCGTTGGTTTGATTTTCTCAACTTCGTTTCAATATCTGAATCTCCGGGTCCAAAATTGAGTTTTTTAGTAATTCTATTTTTAAATCCTTACGTAAAAGTTTAGCTAAATTTTCGAATATCTCGTATGTGTGCAATTATTTTACTGAGCTTATCTTGTAGGTTTCTTTAAAATATATCACTGACTGATTTTCTCCGTTTTTTAAACAAAAATCTCAGAATTTGGTTTTGTTTCATTTCAGGCTTTTGTAGAGATGTTTTATTAGCAGTCCGTACACTATAAACTCATATTGCAGAATTGGTTGAATAGGGCTGAAATAGGTTTTAATTAGTTGTGCTGTCGTTGGTACGTCACGTAATCGGTAGAGCAACCAATAAAAATTATTCATTTTTTTGACCAGAAATTTAATATGAAATTTTAAATCTTATTTTGAGTCCATGTGACTACCCAAATATTTAGTAAGTATTTTTTTGACATCGTCGGTTCCTATTTTTATATTGTCTGTTCCTGTGATTTTTTTTCTAATAAAATTTATGTTCATTGTTTTGTCTAGGTTCAGAGTTCAACCAATTTCCCATTTTGATAAATCCTCACTGTATTGGTGTAAGTTTTGTTCATTTTGCTTCATTTCTGTATCATCAGCTTGTAATTATGTGTTCAGTGCGTTTATGGCTCTTGGTAAATCAATGATGATCAGAATAAACAGTACTGGCCCCAGCACTGATCCCTATGTAGCTCCACGGTGAATAGTTCTCAATTTTTACATTTTTAAGCCTATTTCGATTAATTTTGATCTATTTTTCTATTATGATTTAAACAATGCCTGTGTGAGACCTCGTAGTCCGCAGTTTTCAGCTTTTTCTAGAAGTGTATCATATGATACTGTATCAAACGCTCATTTGAGATCTATGAAAGTTGCATATGTTACATTAGAGTTCATTTCCCCAATCATTTCGGATGTCATGCATAAAGTTTACCAAAGCATCTAATGTAGTTAATTTAGGTCCGAACCCAAATTAGTTTTCAGTCAAAACACCATGTTTATCTAAGAAATCAATAATGCGTTTATGGAGTAACTTTTCGAAAATTTTGCTAAAATCTTGTAGAAGAGATATTGGCCTCTAGTTATCTGGATCTTTTTTGTTCCATTTTGATGAATTGCTATTACTGTCTAATTTAAGACAGTCTGGAAAAATGTTTTTTTTCATAACATCTGTTTTTTACGTTTGTCAGTTTTTTAATTTTTGCCATTTCAATCTTGGTTATTACAAAAGTGTTTAACCCAAAAAAAAATCACTACTGTATTTTCGATCAAAGTTAAAGAAAATTGAGGAGGTTTCTTTTTCGTTTGTTTTCATGAGACAAACAGTGTTAAGAGTTCGCTTCCGGTGAAGTTTTTGACGTGATTCATTTTGCTCAGCCAATTGATGCCCTAGATTAGGAAAAAAAGATTAAAATTTTCGATTTATTCTTGGCTTATATTAACAAGATTTTTTGCTTTCACGGGATATTTCTCTCAAACTATTAAAAAAGCTCTTGAGTTTTGTTTAGCATCGTTTTCAAACTTATTTTGGTAAAATTGTTTTACGTTTCCTGCTTATCACTTTTTGTAATGCATTTATACTTTTTTGCCAATTTCGCTTTATGGTTGTCACTTCCTGAGCTAATGTAATTTGCATAATCTTTCCCTATTTTGTCAGCCACGTTTTTGATTTCATTATCTACCCAGGTTTTTTGTTTTCTTTTGTCTCATATTGTAGTTGGGTTAAAATGTTTTATGTTTGTTGTAATTATGTGATGAAAAAGAATTGAAAAGACTCATTGCAATCTAAATTTGTAATTTTTTTATCGTGTGTTTGTATTTCATTTTTTCGCAAATTGTTGTCTTTTAACGTGTTCCAAATTTTGTATGCTTCTGTTAGGGAAATTTCATCAGTAGACTCACTTTTTGTTTCTTTTAGGCATGTAATTACTGTTGAATGATCTGTAATCAATGTATCCGACACCTGAATAACTAGAAAGATTTGAGTAAACTACATCTATGCAATTTTTGGAGGAAATTGTGTGGCGAGTCGATACTGAATTGTTTCGGCGTTTTAAATTAAAAACATTTAGAAAATCCCCGCATGCATGTTTCAAATGATCGAGATTGAAATCTTCATAAAGAACATGTTTATCATCGGGTCCTACATCCATCCCATTCAAGTAGTTTTCCAAACTCTTCATTAAATCAGTCAGTTCTATGCCAAGACTTGAATAAACTACTACACAAAATACTTTTTTTGTCATGTTTATTTTAATAGTCAAGATCTGACACTGGTCTGATGTAAAGCCACTAATTCGCTGAACAAATTCGTGGACAAAAAAGGCAACTCCACCTCTCTCTCTCCGTGATTTTCTACTTGGTGGTAGTTTGGTAATGTGAGGCATTTGTTGCTTGAATCCGTTTTTAACCATGTTTCTTTTGGTGCAATAAGTACTGGTTCACAACCTTATGTATTCAGAAAAAGCTGAATCTGGTCGACGTTTTTCTTCAGTCATCTTATGTTTCGTAAAACTGAAAATTTTCCATCATTTTTTAGTAAAAACAAGAAAACGCGCCTTTGACCATGTACCATTTTTTGCTTGAGCCTAATATGCTCGTGAAAGATTACAATTCATGTCATTTGAGGCTTTTTAACCCTCAACTTGTTTCAAATTAAACTTTAAAAAAGTCATTCTTTATTCATATTTTTTAAAAAAAATTTTGTAATAATTCCGCTTCGACAATGATTTTTTTAAATCAAAACAAGAATGAAGAAAAACAGGACAATGGCCTCCTGTTATCTTTTTTTTAAATTTTATGATTTTTAATATTTATGATTTATAATATTTCTCCGCGGACATCGCAGAAAATATATTTGCTATTAATGACATGGATAATGATTTCTTCATTTATTTTTCTCAGTTGTTGTTTCAACATATCAACTTTGTTTTTCAATAATGTGAAAGCTGTACAATCTGAGCTACCCCGTTGATATCGCATTATCCTCTTGAAAGTTTCATGAGTATACAAGCATTTTGAATTTTGATTTCGGTTTCAATGATATTCTAAAGAAAACCAATTTCTTAAAACAATTTTCCTAAAAAAATTCGAAAACTGCGTCTATAAAATTTGGACATTTTGCGAGTATCGGAAAATTTCCATTTTTTTTTTGAAATTTTGATTGTTTTTGAGGCTTCTCTTGAATATGACAAGTCTCCTTCTATAATATTGCTGCATACTTTCATTACGAGGCCAAACTGTGCACTGGATAGGCGCACAATTTCGTGTCTGTATGTTCCTGGATTCCATAGACAAGTCTTTAAACATGATAAAATTTTGGCGGAACGATCAAAGAAAATGAAGGAACAAAAAAGAACAAAGGGAGCGTCCTTGTTGCGGAATCCGCTTACAATGCAGAAAATGTCCAGTTTGGCCTCGTAATGTTCTGATTAGACAACACAAAATGTTAATTTGAGCCACCCCTTGAAAATCGCAAGGTACACAATCACTTTTGCTTTTTTTATACAAATTTATTCAATTTTAATAAGTAACTGCTTAGCTGAGCCAACCTGTGGATATAAGTTTTCACCTATGTTATTCATTTTTGAAGCTGGGGAAAAACATCATCCTTAGCGTTGAAAATAATTAATAAAAATTGCTTATATATATATTTTAAA